CCCACGACTCTGTATCGAATAACATAAGCTTACGCAAAAGACCTTCAACAGTTTCGCGTAATTATGCAGATTTTGTGTTTCCCTATCGAATCAAACCAAACTAAACGCTACAAATTAGCCGGCTGTGCAACTCAATCTGTGATCCCCCTTCCCAAAAAGGGAATTTATAATCCGACAAATAATTTTCATAAATTTAAATGCATACTTACCACCTGCTTGTTAGGCAGCCAGGTTTCCCAACGCACATTTCGTAGCAATTAAAAATCGATTTACATGTGTGTGGATCAAATGCTGATTTCTTTGGCTCGCACTCGAGTTTGGGTGAAAATTAATGACTTCCAGTGAAAGTCGGTTTTGTATAACAAACAGCAAGAAAGGTGAAGTGTAAACCAATAGGTACTATAAGATGGGGAGCCCAGAGGCCGACTGCCCAAGATCTCCATGTCAAACGCGGCTTTTCTGGGAAAAGTTCAACGCCCCGATATTTGAAAACGAAAGCGACAAGTTTCTTCTGTTTGTTGTCTTATTATGTGTTTTTTTTTCGTTCAGATATGCAAAATATTTTCTCATGCGTTGGCCACGCAGAATTTTTATTTTCTTATGAAATTACAGCAACCACAAAACACTTTTTATGCCGCCGCCTGCTTTCAGAAATTGTTTTTCGCTTTCATGGTCCGTTAAAGTTGGGCGCTGAGTAGCGAAAAGTTTTGAATTTATGGAATACAGAAATTGTTTAAAACATGTTTTGGCTAAGTGGAAAATTGCTTTGGTATAAAACGAAATATTTTGACTGATTGTCCGAAAAAATGCAAAGTGATTATAAAATAGAATAAACCTTAAGCAGAGGTACGGAAATTGGTAGCCGAAGCTTTTCATATGCAATTAAAGCAATCATAAATCTTAGAAGTTTATTCCACAATATATTAACGAAACTATGTGTGTATGCGTCCAGCGAGATTCTTGAGTAATCCCATCCCGAAAACAACCATATCAGCATAACAAATTCTCACATTTTTCGGCTCCGGCCGACGTGAAAAATGAACAAAATATGCATAATTAGAAATGCGAGGAAGGCTGAAACACGATGTTAGCTGAGCGTACTTCCTGGTTCACTCTGATACCCCAAAGATACTCCCTTCTGCGATTCCCTCACGCAAGGCACACTCGAAACAATGGGAATATGGCAACATCAGCAATATCACGCACTAGTCATTAGCTCGTCGGGATAAACAAACATACTGACTGACTTGCAGCCAAGAAGTGCAACACGTGCTGTGCATAAATAATAATAATAAAATTCGGGAGTGGAGGTGGTAGAGGGAACGGGTAGTTTTAACCGAAGTTTTTCCAGCTGAGTTGGTCAGTTCTAATGTGGTGTTATTGACCCCGCCTTTCCGAGCATAGAAATTAGTATAGATTATGCATGCTCGAAAGCCGGACCGCAGAAAGACAGAGACATTCGTTTGTTGGGGGCCATCCCGAATGAATTAGAAGTGGTGCCAAGTGGAGTCAAACCACTTGTTTCTGTCAGCCTCAAGACTTCAGCTCTGCGCAGAAATTTCTTAATTTCGGCTTCGCATTTGAGTTTGCGTCTTTTTTTTTTGCATAATATGTGTGATAAGCTTGGGGGATTTTCTGCTCTGACACAGATATTTCAACTTCTTTTGATGCCGCAGAGATGCTTTTGCAAGCGGATGTGGCAGTACTTAAAACGGTATTCAAACAACGTTGCCAAGTTTATAAATACACTTCACTTATCCCTTGATATGTACAGCACTTACCGCATAAATCTTGCCAGCTTTGAAGTCCCCCACGAGCAGCTATAATATTAAATTGAAGTCATTAAACATGTAATTGAAATTCGTGTTTCAGTTCATTAACTTCTCGGCGCACAGCTGCGAAATAATTTCGATTTGAATACATTTTTATTGAAGCGGTTAGGCGGGAATCCAAGGTTATCCGAGTTTGCTCAGGTAGTTCTCTACCCCAAGTTCTCGCGAAGTGTGACCCATATTGCCCCGTTCTTCAGGCGTCTGATCTCTCCCCAGTGTATATATAGCAAATGTCCGACTATAATTAGATGGAACTCACTTCACCCACTTTCGAGTGCACTTTAGTTTCGCCACCGTCTAGATCTTCCGCATAGCTCGGGGCTAGTTTTCGATTTTCCAAGCTGTCTAAACAGTTTTCCTACCTTTGGACTACAGATAATTGCATGAGCCATCGTTTATATACGGGAGGAGTGAATCATTCGGACATATTTATGTGGCACAAGGGGAACATCTTCGATCAGTATTATAGAGATGCTATTTTCGTGGAACATTCATAACCAAAAGTTGGTCACATATTCCCTTCGCCTCATCCGAAATTAATGATCTTGTTAATCGAGTGACAGAACCAAAAACAAAAGGTGACATGCACTCGTACAAATAATGGGATAAAATATGTTCTTAAAGTTCCATTTTACGAATTCAATTATAGTTTTATAAGAATTAAGTGAAATATCTGTTAACTAGACACAATATTTAGAAGAAAAACTTTATAGAGCGGGAAAAGCCAATTTCCCAAATTTATTTCTGAGTGCGTGCTTGTATTTTTCCGCTGGAGGATGAATGTATGAACCGCCTTCACCTGAAAAGTTTTCCCTGCCCACTTAATTGAATTGTGTATTTTCGGCCTTAATTAAAAAGCCCAAAGGCGGGGTAAAAGTTCATTGACTGCCCGGAATCGTAATACACTTTTAATGATCCCGATTTGGGCAAGCCAGAAAAATCAATTTAGTTTCTATTTGCTGTTTACTTAATTGAAATTTAGCCTACGGCCTAGGGACTAACTAAAGGGATTTCCGATAGAGCACCGCCTCTTGTAAAATACACTCTTGGGAATTCTTCACCCCATTCGCCGGTTCTCTTAAGTTCTATAGATGCTCTTCTGCCCATTTGGGGAGCTTCTTTTGGGAGCTTTTTAGTCGCCTTCGTATCGATCTTCACGGAAAGTTTTTCCTTAGCCGTAATCAGTCTAGAAAGCGCGAGTGCTCATGACGGATCGCATCGAATCGGATCGGAACGGAACGGATTGTACTTTTATATACCTCGATCTATATCGCGCGAATTTATTTACACCCAGTTTGTACTTCTGATGCCTGTTTTATTTATAAGTTCTCTCAAATATTTCACGTTTTGCCCGTCTTTTTTGGGGATTTGCCATTTGAGTTTCGGGAATCTTGTTCGGTTTCGCATCTGGAGTTGCGTGTGCTTATTTATAGTTTCCCCAGAGATACAATCGCACGTTTGATATGTGTTTCTATTGTTGTTTGGTCGGCTTGCGCCATTGCGTATGAGTGATTTGTGTTGGCCATCTTACCCAGCCGCATATGATTTTTACTGGCACATTGCCCGACATTACGCAGCTGTTTAGGAGACCGTAAATTCCCTAGTAAAAATTCTCATGTAATTTACATAAATATAGTCTAGATCAGATTTTATAATGAGTCTCTAAAAACCGATTGTGAATCACGCTGAGGAACAAAGATCTTTGGGGAAGTCTTGCATATATTTCCATCTCTAAATCAAAGTTGACAAGTGAGGGAATGGTGACCACACGATGAGACATGTGTTCTTGGAAATTTTTAAAATTCAATCGAAAGAGTTCTTCAAATTTTTACGAGACTTTGAATTGTTATGAAAGGCAAATGTTGAGGCTTTGGAAATTTGTATGTGATTCTAAAAGACTAGATATCCAACTCTATACGACTTTTAGTTCTGTTACTCAATGAATAATGAATGAATAATCCATTTTGTTGAGGAACGATTTTTTAAAATCGAAAAACTTATACATGGAATGGTGCTAATAAGCCATTATTTTAATGACAACTTCAAGTGATCCTCTAGTTCGTTTACAGATGCCAACCATATCGAATGTCATTCGACACGAGCATAATCTCTTTATGCCTATGTTTTCCCATTATATGTTTACCACTTGGAAGGGCACCAAGTGTTACCCTTTGGGATCTTCTTCTGCTCCGAGATCATTTGCCGTCATCCTTAGCTATTTCGAATGGCGTCAGCAACGGAAATGATGCGTCCAGATCCCACACGCCGCCTGGTGCCCCAAAATCAGCCCAATTGCAGAGCTTTCTGTATAAACAAATATTATATATGCCCTCCCAATCGAATTTCACACGCAATTTGGTTTATTTTCGTTTAATATCCTCAAAAAAGAAAAAAATAAACGAATTGAAAACCGGAATGAAAATTGTATGGAGCGGCTGTATAATAAATTAAATTAATTAGTTTCAGCATTTGTTTGCGGGGCCTTTCAATTGGCAAATGGGATTGCCAGATAAGATTAAATAGTTCCTCGGGTCTCAAAAGCTTTGATGGATCCTCAGTAAATTGCCTGAAATGATTCCAGGAACCAAACAATACATCATGCATTATGTATACACAAAGTGATAAGACGTTTATCTAGATAGCTTGTTTTTAAGTCGGTTTTGAAAGTACTTTGCTAAGCATTTAATTTGCCATGATAATAAGCTGTTTCCGCTCTAAATTCACTAAAAAATATGTACCAGTACTGTGTGGGAGCCGTATGCAAATGATTTCGCTTAGGCAGAAAGAAAAAAATACTTGACACGTGGAAAAAGATTCAAGTTAGATATTTCTTACACTGGGAAAAATGAAAAGACTTAAATATATTTCTAAAGCTAGGGTCCAACGACCCTGAGTCAGATGGAGTTGTATATATTATTAGGTTGTCATGTAAATGGAATCGACGTGAGGCCGTAAAACAGCTTAAACCTTTAAGATCGCCGCAAAGATCGTTAAAGACTGAGTTTGTTTATCTCAAGGTCTTTGGGCCAGCGTAACATAAGTTGGCACCACGAAATCTTATCAGACTCGCAGTTCTGCGAGTTGCGGGCAAATAAAACATACACGTATCTTGATTGCGTTTGAGTAAAATCAACTAAACACTCTCTATTTCTCTCGCTTTATTTACAGACTGTTCAGACCACTTGGCGGCCACAATTGCCGCTGCCCAGGGAGCTTCAGCTGACCAATGACCGGAACAGCGCCGACGACCACGATTCGAAGTTGATCACGACCACCACAACCACAGCGGACATCCATCACCACCGCCAGGAGGAGGACGAGGAAGAGGATATGGATCGGATAAGGGGCAACCACAGCATTGGAGGATCCTCGCAGCAGCTTTCTGGCAAACAGAAATGGTCCTTCGGGAGGCTTTTTCGTAAAAAAAAGGAGACTGAAAGTGCCTCCTCTAGCGAAGAAGATCGCAAGGCGGGATTTGTGCCTGCCCAGCGTCAGTCAGCCAGCAAGCCAAAGGGAAAACATGGCAAGGGATCGCGGGGTAGCAGCAAATTCGATCACATTGTGGTGAGTCCGCGGCAAGAGCAGGCTCCACCACATCCTCCCCAACCGCAAGTCGACAATGAGTTCTTCTTGCCTTTTGAGATGATACCACCGGAACCCTACTATCAAAATCAGCCGGGCTACTATCAGCGATCGAGTAACTCCCTGGACAGGAGATTACTGATGCAGCCTGGAGTTCAGGGAAATGGTTACCAGCAGCCCAAATCGCGATCGGCGCAGCGAGGTCCCAAGCCACCAGGAGCTCACTCCAGCGAAGAGGAACTGATCTCGCTGAACTCCTCCACATTCTCCAAATACCGCAGCGATGAGAGTATTCATCTGGGTTCTGCTGCTGGACAAAGTCGGCGCAGTCGAGCGGCCCGTAATGAGCGTTACTACAAGAGATTGTCCCGGGATGGCGAACCAAGTCATGGCGGAGCACCCGTTGTGGCCCAGCAGCGATACAAAACCCAGCCACTGCCGTTATCCATCTACCAGCCAACGAGTGCCTCCACTAGCTATGTCCAGTGGCAACCGCAGCCCCAGAAGAATCTGCAGAATGCGATGCAGAACGATGGAAAGCGAAGCATCAGCTACGACAGTCACATACACCTGCAGAACATGAATGGAAGAATGCAGAGTAAGCCATTGCCTCCACCACCGCCTCCAAGGGATCCTCTGAGGAGAGTGCATGTTGGAGGTTCCGGGCAGATTGGTTCCAGCTCTGGAGACCTCCGTCCCGTGTCCTACGCCTTCGATCACAATAGTCGCTGTGCGTCGGATGATCGCATTTGGCAGCCACCCCACTACCAGTCGGTGCATTCGCTCAACTCCCAGCCCAGTTCGTCAATAGTCAGTGCACCAGTGAGTCAACAGCAACCGCATCACAGGAGATTCATTACGCGATCAGAGAGGAACGCAAATCCTGGCAAGCAGTCCCTGCCGAATGGTATTGATTTCCACTATGTGGCAGATGCAACACCGCGCTCCAGGAAGCCCATACACATGATGGATGCAGGCAGGATAGACAATACAGGAGTGCCAGCATCCAGTGGAATATTGCGAACCTCCAAGAGTGGGCTACCCACACCAAGTCCCGCTCCCCAGCAGCCCTTGGCCAAACCGCGGTCGTTCTCCAGCTCGCGACTGAGTGAACTAAGAACCTATCCCATGCCTATGTACTCCGAGGTGCAGAAGCCTAAGAGGAGTGCGCCACCAGTCAATCCCTCGCCGAATCAGGATAACATAGTGTGTGGGAGTCTGCACATAAAACCCACGCAAGAGCATGGAAACCAAAACTATGTGGAGATTCGTCATCGGGATGTGCACAAGAACAACTCAATGCCGCATCATTATCAGAACCGGCGATCTGGCGAGGATTTACCCAACAAGTACGAGGAGTACGTGGCAGAAAAGAGGGAGCAGCATCAACAGGCACCTCCCCCAGTTTATCCGGAGCGTAAAATGAGCTCGACACCGGCAGTGGCACCACCACCCCCTGTTTACTTCCCCCGCAAGAAGCCGGCCAATTTGGAGGAGGCCATCAACGAACTGGAGGCCATTTACAAGTCACTGGGACTCACTGAACCACCCGAGCCCGCACAGGAGCCAAAGCTGGATATTTCCGCCAAGATGCGGGTGCCAACTCCCAGTGATTTTGAAAAGTTCGCTTTGGCGCATGCCGATGACTACGAGGATGAAGATTCCCCAACCGGAGAACCTGACCCAATCAGAGACGATGTGGCCTTCAGGAACCTACAGTTGGCCAATCTGCAACACCGGCCCTCGGAGAAACAGCCTCCATTTGGCATCCCTGTGGGACCCATTGTACCTGCTCCACAGTCGGATTATCTTCACGTGGAGCCAGTGAGGGTTAAGAAGAAGAGTGGCTCTCCTGACATCATTAAAGATGATCTGGCTGTGCGTTCATTGCGAAAAGATCCTCCTGGTCCAAAATCCAGTTTTGTTTACCCAATGCAAAAGAAGCAACGGGCTATTCGAACCCAATCGGCTAATATATACAATCTGATCCAAAGGGACGCTGCGAAACCATCCGGTGGAGATCTCAAAAGCTACATGGAGCTGACTCGCAACCTGGCAAGAGCTGGCAGCATGTCCAATCTGCAGGGTGAGGATGGTAGTGATACCAAAGATGTACCCGCCACCCTGGATCTTCTCCGAAAGTTAAAAGCTCAGGATGAGGAACTGGATTTGGCTAGAAAGCATCACCCCATACCGTTTAGGCATCCCAGTCAGGGAGGAGCTATTGCCCAACTGCCAGAGCGATTGTCCAAAGAGGAAACACCCAAGGCAGCGCCTGTACCAGCTCCCCGAAAGAGTCTGACTCCTGAACCCATGTTGGATGATGCCCTCAACAAGATTGCCCAGGATGCGCAGGCCAGCAGCATTAAACTTAGTCAGGAACTCCATGAACTTCGCAAGGAGGCTTTGATCACAGCTGCGAGACCAAAGTTGAATGCAGAGCAACAGAGATTAGAGGATGAACTGCAGCAGATTGAAGCTGTCTCCGAGGCAGCCAAGCGTTGCGGCCAGATGCTGCTCGAAACTCTGCCAGATGCGGGACAGGAGGGTCAGGAAACTCAGGATAAGCCCCTAAGGAAGCTACATAAGGAGGGCAAACTCATCCGAGCTATCGATGAGGTCTCCGAAGCTGCTAATGCGGTCTGTGAGAAGATCCTCAAGGACATAGTGACCACAGAACCACCGGTGGTAGTTCAGGAAGCCCTCCAAGTGAAGCAGACCACAAAGACTGGACCAGGAGGCGAACAGCTGGTGATGCCGCATCTTATCAAGAAACTAGATCCCATACAATCCGACAAGATCGAGCACATTGCCAGACGATGCATGCGGCAGTTGAGCGAACTGGCCAACAATCCGGACTACGACAACCTGGCCACCTGTAATATGAGCAACAGCACCACCAACGCAACGGGCGGAGCAGCCGCTGATGCCACTCTCGTTTGTCCCGTTCCAGAGACCCAAGCCAAGAGCCAGACGCTCGAGGAGATTGACAAGATCATGCAGGAGTGCGAGCGTCAGGCGAAGAGCAGCAGCTCAACCACAACCACCGATGATCAGCGCACCACCGCCCCCAGTCTGACGAGTGGGAGTGGCAGCGGGAGCTTCCCACCCAATGTGAGCACCACCGCCAGTTCGTTCAGCTCAAGCAGCGACTGTTTGGCCAAGTCGTCGAGTCCCTCGCGCGCCGGCCGTCCGCTCTCCTCGAGCATCACCTCCTTCAATCCATATTCCTCCAGCGACTACATCAAGTCGCAGAGCAGTGATTGCCACGCACCAAGCACCGATCCGATCAAGACCTTTAGCACCACCTCGTACGAGGTGCAGTCCACACCGCAGAGCACCACCATTAGCACCAATACGATGAGCACGAGTCAGAGCAATACGATCAGTAGCACTACCAATCCGAGTGTGGAGTCCAAGCCATCCGCGCCCTCGGTATCGCCACCACCGCTGCAGTTGACGCCAGTGGGTGATCGGAGGGGCAGGAACCGGGAGCGAGGAGCTTCCTGCTCCTCCACATCCTCACCTTCACAGTACAACTCAAGCGAGGAGCTGGCCGCCATTTTTGGCATCGAGGAGCAACCGAAACAGCAGCGTCGCAGCCGGCTGACGCATAATGCCACAGGTAACGGAGATGATCCCGCCACCACTGAGGCCCCGAGTTCGCCTGATTCCGATTCCGCCAACGCCAATGACACTGCCAATGCCAATGCCAATACTACTAATCCCGCCCAGCTCGATCCAGCTAATAGCGCTACTAATCCCGTTTTGAATGTTCAACTTGATGTTACTACTAGCACCTCCACCTCAGCCTCAACCACCCATCCAACCTCTAACGATAATGCTAGCACTTGTAGTAGCCATAGTTATAAGCTAGAGACGATTCCGGAGCAGGATCACGAGGAGGTGGAGTCTACGCTAAAGTTGTCGCCCAACTTCAATAGGATTTATGCCAGCAAAATTCGCATAGTAATGGATCGTGATGAAGGGGCAAGTCCTCTGACAGAAGGAGGAGCGAATGCAGCTTTGACTCAATTCGATTCCCTGAGTTCTCTGGAAGAGACCTCCTCCAATCCGGACTCCGGGAATGTAAGTCTCACGGATTATCCCCTGGCTAACCATGCGAATGCCTCCCTGGAACTGCAGACCGCTTACAATAGTCGGTTTCAAGTGCGGGAGCATTACGTATCCGAGGTTTCCATCAGTGCTTCGGAGTCAACGGATGAGGAGCAGACGGACACGGAGTTTTTAGGAGATGCTGACCGTTTGGAAACAGATGGATTTCCACCTTTACCTACAGAAGAAGAGTTAGAAGAGAGTCTACGAGAAGAAATAGAACTAAACGAAAGTCTAAGTGTGGGAACTTTAAATATTCCTAGGGAGAGTAGCGAAGAAACCGAACCAACAGTGGGGGAAGACAGCTTAGCGCAAGAAGAATTAATATCTGTAGTTGAAGAATTAAACCTCAACGAAACTGTCAGTCTGAGCCAAGAGGTTTACAATGTAACCACTGAGACCCTGCAGAGAATAACGCCGGATGAAGTAGATGGTCTCAGTTTCGCTATAATTGAGGTTAACGAAAGCTTACTTAACGAATCTGCATTTGATGAGATGCACTTTAAACTAGCCGAAACGGAACTGGACGATTCGGAAATCATAGACAGAATGCTTGAGGCTTCGTTTGACGAGTTAGACGAACTAGAACTTGAGGACACAGAACTTGACGAAAGTCAACTTGACGAACAAGAAATTAGCGAACGCCCATTTAACGGAACCTATAATGAACTAGACAGCATAGATCTTGACGCCACAGAACTCAACGCCACTGGACTAAACGAAATTTCATATGACCAGCTGGAGGAACTAGAACTTGACGAAAGCGACTCCGTAATGCCGTTCACACGGCGCAAGAGCATCGTTTACGAGACCCCGCAACTTAACCTGAGCATTTCCGAGCTGAAAGTGAATTACGAAACCCAAGTAGAGCCAGAAATTAAATCAGAGCCGCTCAACGAAGCCATTAAATCGATTCACAATAATGATGAAAGCACCGAGACGGGGCAGGCAGGCAGTGACGAAAAGGCAGATGAAGAGGACGGCAGTGTAACTGAGACCCAGACACATCGTCGCAAAGGACTTCCGGCGAATCCCGCTAATGATGATGAACGGCCGTCCACCAGCTGCAAGGCTCTTTCCGTTTTTGGCGAGGTGCGAACTGTGGCACCACTTGCACCACAGGCGGCTGCAGATGCAGCTGGAGCGGTTGGTGGTGCAACGCGGGGCGGTTGGACTACACTCGAGCACGTATTTGTCGCCTGCACTGTGGGCCTGATTACACCGAACGATTTGCTCACTTTGTGCCTGATCGTAATTGGTGTGATTATCATTATTGCAATTGCGCTCGCCTGAGTGCGCCGTTTATGGCCCAACTGTTGTTGCTGTTATATTGTTTGTTGTAATTATGGTGAAACTGGAAAGAGAGAAAATTATGATTTTTTTTATGAATTAGCCACCAAGTGCACTTAAAGTTTCCACGTACGGTAATTAGTCTAGGATGAATATACATATATGTACATTTATGTTTAAATTAGCTTTTATTTCCAAGAACCAAAAGTATTTTCAACTTCTATGCTAAGTGCAATTTATATTATGCGAATCGAAAATTATGTTTCTTATATTATTTGAAACCCACTGTGCAATTGCAAACGAAAATTATACCATTCATCAATGCTCTCTAACCGTGGTTAGTTGAAATTAGTTCTTTAACACAGTTTCTCGTTTTCCTTCTTAATTAATTGTTAATTTGACTGCAACTTGTGCCAATGATTTTTATACGTTTACTTAATTATGCTCTATTAATTAATCAATTAAATACTTAATCCACAAAATGTACTCCCCAAATAATGTTAAGCACATAAACGAGAAATTCGAAAATGATATACCAACGACAAATTACATTTACCATCTACTAATAATAAAATATTTTCTAAAATCTCTTTGTATATTTTCAGCTCAAAATTTAATAGTTTAAGTTTGACAGTGAACCATTTCTTACGTAGCATTCATTATTTCGCTATAATTTAAATGTTTATATAATTTACCAGACAAATGGAAGCAGGAGCCATGAATCAAATGAAACTTATATTATTAATAAAATGTTATTTAAAAAACAATCTACGATTCTGACAAGTTTTTGTTTTAGTTTCCTTTTCTGCGTTGCTAATGCTTGTTTTTTATTTATATTTGTGTGTAGTTTGAGCTTCATATCCCTGTCCCATTTAATTTTCCATGATTGACTAACACATTTGGTAATAAAAAATCAAAATTTGAAATCGTAAGGAATATGTTATTTAAATGTTGTTGTTGCCGCCGCAAATATGGATTATTGCTTATATTATTGGAAATATTTTTATCGAATTTACAGATTTAACTTTAAGTTTAATCGCTTGACGTTCTAGCCGACGTATAGAAAAACCGCCAGATCGACTTTGCTTGTGATCCGGACCTGAATATATAGGATCGAAATCGCTTTCTTAAATACAATTTAACCAATCAATTAAAAATACCTTTTACTTTCAGAGAAACGTAAATTTGTTAAAATTTAAAAAAGAAAAGCTGTTCAGTTTGGTTCGCGTCTCGGCTAGTTGTCTTTGTAGCGAAAGCTTTTTCAGAGATAGATGGCGCTTCACAAAAATGTAGAATTCCGTGTAAAATTATTGAGAAGAGTATGTCGAACAATTGTGGGATTAAAATAATTTCAAAAATTAATAAATAGAATGTGGACTACTTACTTACAAAATGAAAGCTAAATATTTTATATGGGCAATATACACAAGAAATTATAATTGCAAAAAAAATAACAAAATTTTTCAAAGCATAGCTTAACTTTTTTTGAAAACTGACGAACTTTGCAAACCGAAATGCCTAATATCAAACAGAAACGCAGACCAGACAAAGTTGAATACAAAACTTTTTAGTGGCAAAATTAGAAACCAGAAAGTGCCTAGCTCAAAGTTAGTTGCAAGTGTAAAAACAAAAAAGTTAGGCATGTTGGGAAAAAATTTGGTCCTATAGAATTCTGTTTACAATTTGTCTGTCTCGTGGGGTCACAGACTGACGAGCCGTAGCCCCGCAATACTACAACCCCTGAAAGGTATTTATTTTCCGTTCAAAATAGAAAAAGTTAGAGCTTAAAGCTGAAAGTCTTCTTACGGCAATAGGAACAACAAAAAGGGAAAGTCGTGGCCTCATAATGAAACCAATTCAAGGAGCTGCTCAAACTTTTCTTGTGGCCCTTCATCGGTTCGTGATGTTGTGGCGTAAAGAGGACATTCAACTGCATGACCTGAGTTTGCTTTGGCATCTTATTGTGTTCTAGGGATTTTGTATTTCGTATTTGCGTCCTTTTTTCATAATTATGTTTGGCCATTTTTGCCTAATGAGGTGTATGATTTCGTCGGGTAATTTAAGCTAGGTCGGGAGTCTGCGGGAATAGAGAGGCCAATGGGATATAACTATTTCTTTTTAAATCTCTGCCATCGACCCGTTTGTCCTTTTGGGATTCGGGCCATGATTTATGTCTTCAAGCTCTGTGTATTCTTGGGTAATTGAAAATTGGCCAACGGGAAGTATTTGCCTCGACTTTAGGCAGCGAAACAATAAGGTTTTAAGCTAAGAAAACTTCTCCACAAAGGTTCATTTACCTCAGAAGCCGAGCATTGCTCTCGTTACACAAAACACACACAAAATCACTGGCACACCAGGCTAAATAGCAATAAAAATGTCACCCGGCTCTAATTTGTTTTTTGTCTACGCCGGGACTCGGTAGGCAGCTCTGCTCCAAGGACCTCAAAATGTGGTTAAGTAAAGGAGGGCTGTGCCATAAATAAACCAACCACATGGGCGTGCTAGTGTGTGTGTCCTGGAGTTCCTTTTCTGCATGTTTGCCTCCTTCTATCGCTGAAATAATCATAACTCACTTAACCCCATTAAATGTGCTGGGGAGCCCAGCGGGCGTATGAGCGATATTCGCTTGAATGAAACCCCCCTGGGGGCGTGTCCAAGTGGGCGTCGGAGCGGAGGCGGCAAACGGCTCATTGACAACCTTTGTGCCCGATAATTACTATCAGGCAAGACAGGCGTTCCCCTTTTCAGCGTTACTCATACGCCGCGTGGCACACCGCAACATTTGTAATCATGTGTGTGAAACTACAGAGAAAAGATTGCATCCAAAGCAAGACCTTTGAAAGAACTCCAAAAATGAATTTGTTGTTAATATTATACAATTAAACATTTATAGGCTTAATTTTAAGCTCTTCAGATGTGGTTAGCTCCTCTCACCTAAAGGTAATATTATTTATTATTTGCTTTGGATAAATACCACTTGAATGGCCAGCTTTGGAACCACATTTTTCCGCAGTGCTTGAACATTTTGCGGTCTCGATTGCCAGTCGACTTGAGGCATGCGGTCAAGTGTGGGTTGCGTTTGTTTTGTCGCTTCTGTTGCGCAGATTGTTGTGGCTGCAATTCGGCCCTCAACCCCTTTTCCCCAATCGCCCACCCACTTTTCCCGTTCAAAACGATCAAATGGGGCACGCCAGAAAATGTTCCAGTCGGGAACTTTGACAAACACTATTTTATACTAGGGGGCAAGCTGCGAGGGCCACTCTTTTTCGGGGTAGGCAACTGTTCAATTCTGTGTAGCCTGTTGTAGTAGTTGCCTTATTGGGCGTAACGAAGGGTGGGATTTCACAGGGGGTGGGGACTGCGAGATCCTTGCCACTGCGCAGGTACAAACAAAATGCGCTGAGTGAGAGAGGTTTGGCCAGGGCGAATTGCAAGGACTACGAAAAAAGAGTCCTTGTCGAGAATTTGAAATATCATTGCCAGGTTAAAAAAAGGGGATTTTGTTAACAATATTTGAAATACAAGAATCCAATGAATTTCCCATAATGTCATATTTTTTCATACCTTTAGGAAGGCTTAGGAATCGACGAATTTTGTGTACTAAAGGATTTTCGTTCTTAAAGGCTACAAACACTTTATTTTAAGGAGTTTAATTTACAATGCATTCCACTCAGATTCAACCAGTTTTTGAATGTGTATTTGCCTAGTGAACTTTTTTCACTACTGTTGAAGAGTGGGCGTGTGGTCAACTCTCTTTCCGACCTCCCAATTCGCCGCTTATAAAAACCGGCTGAAAAAGTCAGCTGTTCGGCCGCTCAGAACTTGGTCGACGTGGTCGTTGCTATTGCAGTTACTGCCGCTCCTGCTGTTGCCTCTTTATTACTGCCAAATGGTGGCGAAAATCGCATGGGAAACCAGTCTCTTACAGCCTTGTGGCCAAGCCATCATCTCATCGGATCTCAGTTCGCGCTGAGTTCTCCAACGATTCGGAAGTGGCGGCGCAGGCAAGTGATTCGTGTCCTTCGAGTCGGGTACTTTACGTAAATCTAGAGCGAAACCTGTATGAAAAATCACCGTAAAAGTTATTAGAGAAATTCATTGGAGGCAGCACAAGGGAAACCTAGAAAAAAGAACCCCAAGGAAACCAAAAACAAAACCCAAACAAGGTGCGTTGTGTCAAAGTTTTCACATTGTCGGTGGTGCTAAATGTTCGAGTGTGTGGGAAATGCACGTGTCAGCGAGGAGGGAAACCCCAAACTCTCTTGAAAATCCGTTCTGGCCAGCAACAGTTAAGCAGAATTTTCCGGAATGTACAGCACAACGACTGTTTGAAGTTGTGGAGTTACTTTATTTCCGCTTTGATTGGTCGCTTTGCTGCGTATAATTTTTTGCAATTCATTTCACTTAGTGCGTAATTCATGTCTCCTGCATGGCCACGACCACGCCCCCGTCGACGCCCGCCTCCGCCCCTGGATTACGCCTTTGTCCTGTTTTGGATCCGTCTGACATTTGTTGGCCAATTTCCATTGTTGCCGCTGCCGCCTTTGTTGGTGCGTTGAACTCGCTTGGCTTTTCCCTTTTTTCCTTTTTCACCATCACCATTACCATCTGGCCCCGCGATATTCAACGCATTTTGGTGGCTCAAGTTCACTTTTGTTACTGCCTTACACTGCTAGTTTTTTTTGTTTTCGTTCAGAGTGCAGAAGTTTCCTTTCGACTCATCAGCTTCTTGTTGCAGCCTTTTGGCTTATTTGCATTTTCATTTCAACGAGCGGACGTTGGGATTTCCTTTCCATTTCGGCGGTTCCCACGACTCATTGCGGCAGTGTGGCTAAGGACTTTCATAAACCTATTTTTACATTTTTACATTTTTGCCTAGCTGCTTGGTTGTTTCTAGCCATAATATGGGTTTAATGTTGCTGAACGGCATGAAATTTAAGGCCTAAATCAGCATATTGTTAGTTTCTTGGGTTCTATGTATTTATTGCATTACGGTTGAATATAAAGTACTTAAGACATTTAAAGTTGGCTATAAATCGACATTACAATTTGCTTTTAAGTTATC